ATCACAGGTGTACCACCAACTTGAAGGGGGGTAACAGAGAAGAAATGCAGAGTGTAGCAATCCTCACTAGCTGCGGATTGTGATGGATGAAGACGGCGTCGTTGCAGAAGAAAGGAGAAGAATGATTGCTGAAGAACTAAAGGGAACGACAGCGTTTTTAGTATAGTTGAGTTAGCCGTTAATTCACTGTTTGTTTAAATTGAGAACCAATCTTGTAAGGACACGTTTCACTTTTCTGTTAATTACAAAAGTAGCTATAAAAGCTACAGAGAGATCATAATAAAGCTGAGCTTTTCTTCCAAATTCCTTTCTTCTTTACAATTTCTACACTCTGTTCTTCTTCTTCTTCTTCTCGATTCCTCGATTGCAAGTTGCAACCGTCAATCTTGTCTGTATTGCCCAATTAGTCTACAGAGATCCATTTTCGAGGCTCAGGTGCGGCACATCGACGACGATAATTCATTAGTGTTTCCGATATCGTGTCAGTTGAGACGTACGTAAGGTTTGCCTATTGAGACAAACATGGAGGAAAAAAGCTGGAGTTTTGTAGAAGCTTTACCGCTTGTTCTAGCAACTTTCTTTGCTTCGGTTCTTCCTGTTCTCTATCGAATCCTTATTGCCTTACTGTCGGCATTGAAGTCAAGACGCCATAGCCAGATGGAACTCGAGGTATCCAACTGCGCACCTCATTATTTCACTCACTGTTATCCTGTAGATGATTTAAAGTTTTTTTTTCTTTATTGAAAGGGTGGTTTTTTTTTTGGCTGATGAATTGATGCTTAGTTTTATTCGTCAAATCAAGTTTATCCTTTAGAGATATGTGTGCATCCATAGCTAGATTTTTGTTAATGCTAGTTGATTGTAGTTCATGTTGGCAACCACATCTGGATCGACAAACACAAATGACACTATGATAGGCAGTCACATTATCTTAACTCCACAAGGAAATGTTATTATGGTATGCGATGGTGAAACTATCAGATTTCCTATGCCATTCACCTGCGCTCTTGAATGATAGATGAACTGTTTCCATTTGATATTGATATTCTATGCTGAATTCAACTAGTCGAGTGGCTTTTTTTTTATTTCTTTCTTTCTTTTTGTAGTGCGATGCCTCCCGGTCCCTCATCATTTACAAGTCTGTAATTCGTAATTATTCCTTCATACATGCTGAGCAACTTTATCCTGACGCAGCAGATGCATCGCAAATTCGGCTATTGGAGATTTAGGCATATTTTTGCTGGGCTGTTTCACTACTTGTTATTTTGACTTGTGGAATCCAGAAACAGGCACATTTAGGGATCTACCATCCCCCAGATACAGAAGAGCCAACCCGATGCGAGACCCTGACGTAGAAGATTACTACTCATGTGGGTTGGGGCTGGATAAATAAGACCGCTAATGATTTGAAGATAGTTCTGATTCGACACTTCATCCATCCGGTTTCTTCTCACTTTACGGATTCGAGCTGGTACTCCTCGCCAGAGTTCCCTTCACAAGTGTCGGTGTACACACTCGGGACTGATTGTTGGAGAGAGTTGGAAGATTTCACCCAGGAGGTTGACACACTTCATTACAACGACTCTTGCAGGTATTTGAATGGGTTTGTGTTTTGGCTGTGTTCATCTCCTGTTGCGGCACTGGCATTCGACCTTGGGACAGGATGTTTTCCGGGTGATAAATGATCCTGTATCCGTCCCCTCTGCTGAATTTTTTGAAATTCCTCCGAAGCGACTTTCCCTTAACGGGAATTCGATTGCTTTATTTATTATCCAGGATGGTGGTGGTGGATATGATATGTGGTTATTGAGTGAAGATTGGTGCTGGGTCAAATATTTAGCTATCAGTCCATTCGTTCCTAAGGATATGATGGTGGTCGGGAATTGGGGGGAGAATCAGCTTATCTTGGCTACCAGAATTCAAGAACCCGGAAATCTTGAATATATTTTAGAAAATGGTCTAACTAGACAGATTGTATTGTTCGACCCTTGTACCCAAACCAGCAAAGTTCTACAGTCCAAGTGCTGCCATCTTTGTGGCTTTTATTGTTACAAAGAAAGCTTGGTCAATGTGGGTGAAATGAGGTTGGACGAGTGTAGCTATCGTGTCAGTAGGTATTAATAGTGAATTTTCCCCAATATTTATTTGGGTCTGTTGTGATCTGTATGATTAGAATTCTATTAGATTCTCAAAATAATTTGCTTCTACTTTGGTCTTATTATGAATGTATTTATATCCAACTCCCTTTGGTCCATCTGTGAGCTTTAATTTAGAGGAATGACAAGGCATGGGATTAGTTACCATTGTCCCCCATCAACTCTTAGTCTCTACTATAAATAAAGTTGAGAGGATTGATTACCATTGCTTCTTTTTATGATTCAGTTGTAAAGTGTGTTGGTATTACTCAATAAGAAGCTCTCTCTTCTCTTCATTTGTGGTCTCTGATGTTCATATATCTTATTCTGGAACGGTTATTTTATAACATGTTATCAGCATTATTATTTTACGTGGTCGAGATCCTGTCGATCTGAGCAAATTCCGAAAAAGGAATTTTTTATCATTTGCACAATTTTTCTACGCACTCAAGATCCAGTCGATGTGAGGTAACTCTGAAAGTGAAAGTCTTTACCATTTTAGGGATGGTTCTACCCAGCCAAGATCCTGTCGATATGAGGCAACCCCAGAAGTAGAAGTTTAATCATTACCATCATTGTTCTACGTTCTCATATCCTAATGATCTTAGCCAATTTTGGACGCAAATGGTTTTACCATTATCCATATTGTTTTACTTACTCAAGATCCTATAGATTTGAGAAATATACTATTGGCATGAAGGTTATGACCACCCAAGATCCTGTCGATCTACAACTATAACGAAGCAGAAGTTTTGACCAGTTAAACAATACTAGCCATCATAAGATCTTAATTTTCGGTTCTTCAACTTCGAGGTATATATAATCCGCATGGAAGTTTAATCTTTGAACAACTTACTTACTCATGTTAATAATATAGTTATCATGGCAATAGAATTACTTGTTATATATATATATACACAATTCGTATATTTCAGATGCGTTCCAAATTTTTGCACCATTGATCACTTGATCTAATCTAAACGACCATTATAAATTATAATAAAATTAATAATCATAATTGTTGTTTGCACCCCTTAAATAATCTAAATCGCTAAACGCCGCCCTTGAAATTGCTAACGGTCTCCCTAAATCAAATAATAAATAACCTATATACCCCTAATTAAATTCAAAATTTAAACAATCAAACAAGACCTTAACACCTAAAACACTACTCTTCCCATCTCTCCATGTCGGCGGCATGGCCTCCTCTCGTCGTATTCCCACCTCCGTCGGCGAATGAGCCTCCCGCCGTCAAAAGATTAGAAAAATATTGATCTAAACTAAAATTTCTAAAAACATGCTCAAATCTAAGGCAAATTGTGGTTGGTCCATGGTGCAACCGCATCTCAATTGCGGTTCCACCATGACCCAACCGCAAGGGACCTGCGGTTTCCTTTTTTTTTTTTGGAGTGAACTTTAACTCGTCGGAGTCTCTACTCATGATTCATACGTCCTACCAATGATTCCGGCTCCAGAATGACGATGATGGTTTCTCTCTCCTTGGATTTTTCTTTGCTTCGTCTAAATTGTGTTTGTTTGCTAAAGGGAAGGTAAAGAAGCTAAAGGGTTAAAAGTGTAACTTTAGTATTTTTTTAGGGCGACCTTTACCAATTTTAAGTGCGACCTTTAGCAATTCCTTTTTGGATAGATAGTTATAGATTTATAGGATTATAATAGATCAAGATCAGCGTGATTGGTTCTTTGCAAAGTTTTCATCTTCACCTATTCTTTTGTTTCGTTTTCTATATTTAATTTCTTATGATCATTGATTCATTTCTAAACCTCCAAGAGAAACCAATTCGTAGATTCTTGATAATGCAACCTCAGCCAAGTTATTATCAGCGAAGAGTTTGATAGCAAGAATTTATGGGTAAATGCCATGATTGATCACTGATTTACTAAAAAAGGTCAAATTTAATCACTAAAAATTTGATCACTAAAATATGGTCACTATCCGTCCAACTTTGTTAACTTGGCCGTTAAATATATGACGCGACAATTAAAAAATAATTAAATTAAAATTTCCAGAATTTCGAACTCATATTGTACCTTCACCCCCCCCCCCCCTTCCTTTTTCCTTTCTCTTTCTTCCTTGCTTTCAATTTCTCCGGTAGAGCTCAAACGAAACCCTGTCTCTTAGAAACAAAGAGAGGCAGCGGGGGAAACTTGTTTTTTCACCTTCTTCTTTCTAGGCTGGTTCCAAAAAATAACACGAAAAGCATGTTTTCAATTCAAGAAGAACCCATCTTCTGTTGAAATTAAAATAAAGTTTAATTAAAAATATATAAGCAAAATATCAGAGTCGTCTATAACGTGTAGTGTGTGCAATGTGATATGGAATTGTGTAGAATGCTCATTAGAGGGCTAGTTGCATGGATGAAAAGCAGCCACAAACCAAAGGCGATTCCCAACTGCCATTTTGATTGGGGGTGCTGCTTATTGGGTTTGAGCAGCCTATATAAAGGCTTATTGTGCTCGTGTACAGAAGCATATCCAAACAAAGAAAGAATAAGATTCCTTCTCCAAAAGCTCTCTATGTAGCCTACCCTTGTTCCAAAATTCCCTATCCCAAAATATAAGCCCACAAAATCAAACAAAAATCAAGGTTGCCATTCTCTCTAAACGTGCATGCCAAAGCCAAATATTAAGCAAATAATTATTTATTTTTCAACAAAGTGGTATTAGAGTCCGAGTTATTTCTTAGTATGCTTTGTGGTTGCAACGTAGTCTGAACTTCCACATAAAAAAAGAATTCTCGTGTTGTTGTTATCACGATAGTCCCATGGCCAAAATATCATCTTTCCCCATTCAATTTCCCCACCTTACCAAAACCAATTATAAAAATTGGTGTATCCGTATGAAAACCTTGTTGGGATCCCAAGATGCTTGTGATATTGTTGAAAAAGGTAACGAGATTCCCACTAAGGATTCTCGATTAACTCCTGCTGAAAAGGAAGTGTTGAGAAAGAATAGAAAGAGTGATCGAAAAGCACACACTCTTATTGATCAATGTCTTGATGAATCGATGTTCGACCAAGTTGCACATGCTACCACACCAAAGGAAGAATGAGAAATTTCGCAAAAGGAAATCCAAGGCGTGGAACCAGTAAAGAAGGTTCGACTTCAGACACTCAAGGAAAATTTTGAAGCAATGAAGATGAAGGAAGGAGAATCAGTGTCAGACTAGACAGCTCGTGTGAAGTCAATTGTCAGCCAGTTGAAGCAGTACGGGGAGAAAATTCAAGAGACCGCAGTGGTGAAGAAAATTCTACGATCGCTAGTACCAAAATTTGACTATGTGGTGGTGACGATGGAGGAAGCAAAAGAGGTGTTGAAAATGACGGTGGATGAAGTTATTGGCTCACTGTAGGAGAGATATGGAAGACTAAATAAAAGAAATGAAGAATCGTTAGAACAAGTGTTAGCTACAAAAGCTACCATTGAGGAGAAAGAAGGTGCATGAGGAGGAGGTCAGAATAGAGGTCGAGGCAGAGGCAATATAGAGGCAGAGGAAGAGGAAGAGCCAGTGGAGCATATCAAAGCAAGACGAAGAAAATTTCACCACGAACAACTATGAATCATCCACTGAGGCAGAGGTCATGGTCGTTGACGTGGAAAAGGAAATTGGAGATCAAATGAAGGTCGAGATAAATCCAACATCCAATGCTATAATTGCTCGAAGTACGGGCATTATGCATTGAAATATTGGAGTCTGCCTAAAGAAGTGGAGGAGACAACAAACAATGTGCAAGAAGAAGGAGTCAAAGGCACATTGCTGCTATCGCATCAAGGAGATGAAAAACCGAGAGACAACATGTGGTATCTGGATAATGCTGCAAGCAACCACATGTGTGGAAAAAGAAACATGTTTGTGTAGATGGATGAATCAGTGAAAGGAAATGTCTTATTTGGAGATTCCTCGAAGGTTCCTATCAAAGGAAGAGGAACTATACTAATCAGGCTCAAGAATGGCTCGCAACAATTTATCAGTGATGTTTACTATGTCCTAGATATGACAAGTAACATTCTAAGTTTGGGTCAGTTGATGGAGAAAAATTATGAAGTTCACATGGTGAATCGACAACTAAAGCTGTTGAATGAGAAGAAGCAGTTGTTGGCTACAGTCCCAATGTTGAGGAATAGAATGTTCACCCTGAACATTCAAACAGAAATGGCGAATTGCCTGAAAGTGTGTGTGAAGGACACACATGGATTTGGTCATCTAAATTTTGGAGGCTTGAAGTTACTCAGTCATAAGAAGATGGTGCATGGTCTGCCAATGATCAATCATCATACCAGTTGTGTGATGCTTAGTTTGGAAGCAATTCAGGGCAAGTTTCCTGAAGGAGTCCCTGTCAGGAGGCAAAGCACTGCTTGATCTCATACATGCAGATCTTTGTGGACCAATCACTCCAACATTATTCATAAAAATTAATAATTCCTACTGTTCATTGACGACTATAGTAGAAAGACATGATTTTACTTATTGAAGCAGAAGTCAGATACATTTAAAACTTCCAAGAAGTTCAAAATGCTCGTGGAGAATGAATGTGGCTGCTACATCAAAGCAATGAGATCGGATAGAGGGGGAGAATTTATGATGAAAAAGTTCTGAAGGTTCTATGCACAGGTTTCTCACAGTTCCAAGATCCCCACAACAGAATGAAGTAGTTGACAGGAAGAACAAAACTGTACTCAACATGGTGAGAAGCATGTTGAAGAGTAAGAATCCGCCAAAGGAGCTATTGGCTGAAGTTGTTGATTGTGAAGTCTACCTACTGAACAAGTCACCAACAATGAGTATTTGGAATCAAACACCCAAAGAAGCATGGAGCGGTAGGCTCCGAGTCTTCGGAATTGTCGGATATGTGCACATACCAGATCAAGAAAGAAAGAAGTTGGATGACAAAAGCAAGAAGTACGTAGTCCTGGGATACTCAAAACACTCAAACAAGATCTTTGTTCCCGTGGAAGAGAAGGTGATCATTAGCACAGACGTGGTAGTTGATGAAGAAGCAATATAGAATTGGACTATTGAAGCAAAGAAGAATTATACCTTTTATCCATTCACTATGGATGAAAGTGATGAATTACTGGATACAGATACACCTGTATTGAGTCTACTCAATAATAGAGAAACTGCCAGTCCTAAAGGAGATTCAAGTGCAAAAGAAAGGCCATAAAAGTACAGATGTCTTGAAGATCTATACGAAGCAACGATAACCATTGAAGGTGATGAATTGACACTATACTTTCATCCCATTGATAGTGAACCAGTGGATGTTGAAGAAGCCATGAAGGATGAAAAATGGAGAAGAGCCATGGATGAAAAAATTAAAGCTATCAAGAAGAAAAAGACTTGGGAGCTAATATCACTTCCTGAGAACCAGAAGCCATTGGTGTGAAGTGGGTATTTAATGTAAAGAAGAATGCCAAAGGAGAAGTTATCGGGGACAAAGCATGATTGGTGGCGAAAGGATATTGTCAGAGAATAGGCATTGACTATAATGAAGTTTTTGCTCCCGTGGGGAGAATGGAAAGCATAAGGATGGTGATATCTCTTGCTGCTCAAAATCGATGGAAGATACATCAAATGGATGTGAAATCAGCTTTTCTGAATGGATATCTCGAGGAAGATATCTATGTGGAGAACCTCCTGGATATATAGTTGAAGGTCGAGAAGATAAGTTTTTGAAGCCGAAGAAAGCATTGCATGGTCTAAAACAAGCACTGAGAGCTTGGAATAGCAGGATTGACATGTATTTTCAACAGAACGGAGTCAACAAATGTCCACATGAGCATGCACTATACTGAAAGGTGCAAGGAGGAGCAATCTTATCAGTTTGCCTATACGTAGATTATCTCATCTTTATAGGCAATAATCCTTGAATGTTGAAGAGTTCAAGAAAACGATGGTTCATGAGTTTGAGATGACAGACATCGGACTGATGTCATACTATCTAGGAATTGAAGTAACTCAAAAGGAGGAAGAAATTTTCATCTCACATAGTGGTTTTGCCAAAGAGGTCCTGAAGAAGTTTAAGATGGAGAACTGTAATCCTGTGAGCACACCAGCTGTGTGTGGACTAAAATTATCCAAGGACGCCAACAGAGAGAAGGTTAACTCAACAGAGTTTAGAAGCCTCGTGGGAAGTTTGAGATATCTGACTTCTACTAGACGAGATATTCTCTACGTAGTTGGATTAGTCAATAGATACATGGAGTTGCCAATAATATCACACCGAAATGCTACCAATAGGATACTGCACTACATAAAAGGTACAATCGATCATAATCTGCTTTATACTAAGTAAGAAAATTTCGAATTGGTTGGATACAGCAATAGTGATTGTGCAGGAGACATGGATGATCGCAAGAGCACTACAGGATTTGTATTTTTTCTGGGAGATACAGCTTTTACATGGAGTTCAAAAAAGCAAACTATTGTGACATTATTTACTTGCGAAACTAAGTATGTTGTTGCGACATCGCTTGTGTTTCATGCAATATGTCTAAGAAAATTGTTGAAGGAGTTGACCAAGACACAATAAGAGTCAACTGAAATTTTTATGGATAACAAGCATGCCCTGGCGTTAGCAAAGAATCCGGTGTTCCATCATATTGATACGAGATATAGTTTCTTATGAGTGTGTGGAGTAGAAAGAAGTGATGCTGAAGTATGTGAAGACAGAATACCAAATTGCTTATATTTCCACGAAGCCACTAAAGCAAGATGTGTTCGTCAAGATAAGGACACACTACTCGGAGTTACTACTAATTAAACTTTAAGGGGGAGTGTTGTAATTAAAATAAAGTTTAATTAAAAATATCTAAGCAAAATATCAGAGCTGTCTAGAACGTATAGTGTGTGCAATGTGATATGGAATTGTGTAGAATGCTCATTAAAGACGGCTAGTTGCATGGATGAAAAGAAGCCACAAACCAAAGGCGGTTCCCCACTGCCATATTGATTGGGGGTGCTGCTTATTGGGTTTGGGAAACCTATATAAAGGCTTGTTGTGTTCGTGTAGAGAAGCAGAGCCAAACAAAGAAAGAATAAGATTCCCTCTCCAGAAGCTCTCTCTGCAGCCTACCTTGTTTCAAAATTCCCTCTCCCAAAATATAAGCCCACCAAATCAAACAAAAATCAAGGTTGCCATTCTCTCTAAACGTCCCCGCCAAAGTCACATATTAAGGAAATAATTATTTATTTTCCAACATCTTCTTCTACTTCTACTTCTACTTCTACTTCTACTTTCTCCTTTGTTTTTGTGTCCTCCCTCTTTCTTCCTATGTTTCCGAGTAGTCGCCAAAAAAGTCAGCTCTGCTAGACTTCAAGTTTTCAGTCTCTGATCCCCATGAAACTCTTCTCTCCAACTAGATTCCAGAGCTCCACCACTGTGCATGGGCTGGGGTAGCTTGCAACTCACGGTCCCAAGTTGTCTCCCTTAGAGTCTCCGGCGGCGGTAGAAGAGGTAACTCCAAGGCTCTTCCATGTTCGGGCATTTTCAAGTTTTCAATTTCGCGCGGCCAGGTAGAAGAGGGCATGCTCAGGTTCGAGCCTTCATGGGAAGTTAGTCGGAAAGTTGCCGCCTTTGATTGGGAAGCTTAGGAAGCTTAGGGTTTTGTCTCTACCTTTTAATGAGCTTGGTTGCGAAATTCCTTCTGAGATTTGGGATTTAAAGGAGCTTGAAGTGCTAGATCTCGAAGGAAGCTTGTTTACCGGCGAATTCTCTGGTCAATTTGGTGGTGAGTTGACAAAATTAAGAGTTTGAATCTATGGTTCAGCAGATGCCATGGAGAAATCCCAGCTTCAATTTCTAGATATGCAAGTTTGCCGGTTTTGAACTTGGCTGGTAACAACCTGACTGGTCTACAAGAAGAAGTAGAGATTGAGCAATAAAAGAATTTTATTTTTATTTTTTGATGATGAAATTAATGGGATGAAAATTTTGAAATATTTAGTTTTATTATTTTTTAATTTTTAATGACCCCGTCATATATTTAATGGTCAACTTAAACAGTTGACTGCCACATAAGCAAAAGTTAACAAAGTTGACGGAGAGTGACCAAACTTGGCATTTTTTAGTAATTTCAGTGACCACAAATGGAATAAAATATTTTTAGTGATCAAACTTGACATTTTTTAGTAATCTCAGTGACCAATTATGCACTTACCCAAGAATTTATTATCAGAAACTTTACAGCAAAACTGGGAAATGCTCTGACTCCCTACAGAGATAACAAGCAGGTAGTAGTGGTGACATGGGTGAACTAAGCCTTGAGGTGACCATAGTAATTGAGTTTCTACTGTGTAGTCTAGAATCGCCCATTTCCAAATGTGGATGAATTGCCAATGAACTTGAGATTCACCGCTCGTAGCAGTTTTAGAAGTCTGTTAAAAGAAAGACTGCTTCAATGTCAACACACAGTGTAATAAGATAACGGGTTGCATGATCCTGACCTTTAAAAGTAGAAACATCTTTGAATGTAAAACTTTGGCATAACAATTGCATGTGTACAAGGAAAAGACAACACCCACAACAAATATTACCTCATAATCACTATCAAACAGATATCGCCTCAAGTTTCAACAGATAGCTGCATAAAAGAGATTCAATGACATATCACCTCCAGTGAATCAGTAGACCAACAATGTAATTGCTCCCGAACTCTCCTTCTCCCATGTCCAATTTCGGATCGTAGTGTTTGGTAGCTGAAAACAATGTACGCACCACGGTTTTCCTGCAATCAAAAGTAGTGAAATTAAAAGCAAGATTATCATCCCCTTCCACTAAATCAATACCTCAACACTTGGTTGGGCAGGAATGATATCGCAAAGGATGTTTATTTGCCCGAATACTAATCTCGAAGGCAGCCTCCGCTATTTCTCAGTGATAAACAAAAACACAAGTTTTTCTATCTTTTCAAGTATTTTCTTCTCAAACAGCTTGGGCATATTACTAACACGGTTAGGAGTCAAAATGCTAGTTTCGAACTCCCCTTAAATCATACAATCAAGCATCCAGAATGATTATTTTGGGAATTCCAAATTAACCGGGTATAACGAAATCTGAAATTGATCTACTCCAACATTTGTGATTTAGCAACAAGAAAAACTTAATTTGAGCGCTTACCAATTTTTTAAATTTCCACCTTTAAAACATGAATAATCTCTTTTCATGTAAAAGTACTGAAATTGCTTCACTAAGTCAGAAATCGTCTCATATGCAACCGAAATTAATATTTGATTGGGAAACTCACATCAATTCGATGATCCCTAGCTCGCCTTTCTTCGAATTTGTCGGTTTTCACTGTTACAACCAGTACTCTGTCCGTTGCCTACCTTTAGCAACCAGAACGGATATGGTGCTCCCACCTACTGTTTGGAGGACGTCCTCCCAATGGTTCAGGTCAAAAGCACACTTTCACAATGGTCCAGATCATTTAAAATCTAGTTAAGTGGAATGAGGGACCCAATTGTCTGAAAAGCCTGACTTCAGTCTCTGCATGTGGGGTCTCTGTGCACAGTGGATGTGGAACTCCGAGACCCCATAAATAAAGAACTAAGCTAGCTCACCGAAATTTACCAATATAGGAACGAAAATGGTGACTCGATTGATGAGTTTCGACTTTTTTGGAAGAGTGCGATGGTCTGGTGATGAAGGAAGGAGAAACAAGAAAGGAGAGAGGGGAAGACATAATTATCCAATATGTTCACATAAGTTTGGCATTTTTGAAAAATGATTCTAAATATTTTATTTTCTCCAATATGGTAACACAATAATTACTGTTTGGTACCTTCTGTCAAATTTGTGTATGGAAATTATGATGGTGCAACCAAAATTCAATTTGTATGACTTAATTACAACCATAATTTGACTTATGTCATTTAATTGCAACGAAAACAAATTAAGCGGTTAGTATCTCTGTTTTCAGAACCGGACCGGAGGTTGAGCCGAAAAAGTTAGTGGTTTAAGGTTCACTGGTTAACCATTACAAAACCGTTGATAGAACCATTCATGATACAACATACAAGATTTATATATTACACTAATTTAAGAATAAAGTTATTACTGACCATAAACAATTTCAAATTCATATCATTACCAAAATTTCTAATAAATCAATTAAACCGTCTCACAAAAGAAATTATTATTTTAATTCAAGTTAAAAATTATGGTGGCAATTAGTTGTAGATCACGTAAAAATGACAACAAGGTTGGGAAATGAGAAGATGAACCATATATAAAATTAATAATCATGGCTTGATAGTCTTATTTTACGTTAAAATTCTTTATTAATACAAACTTTTGTTGTTAAAATAGTGAACCAGTGGACCAGTTAAACTGTGGTGGTTCATATGGTTTTATGCTGAACCGTGAAAAATCGTTTGGTTTATCAATAACCATTCAAACAATGAAACTGGGTCGCTATCGTAATTGGGTTGACATTTCTACTGGCCCAATCGTTGATCCAATTCGGTTCTTATAACAATGGTTAGTATGCAACATATGTTATACTTAAGTGACAAGTTGTGCATTTAATCCTAACTCCTGACATTCTTTTTCTATATATAATAACCTAATCAATTTATTAAGAGGTTTGTACCTCCTTATCCAAACAGTTTAGGAGGAAAACCGGAGGTCTGGAATCACATACCTCCTCTATTTCCCAGTTACAACGGATATGGGCCATGATATGGGCCGACTCATTCCAAGCCCATTTTATAAATTCCCATCTGATAGGCCCCAATCGATGGGCTTCGGCTTGTAGTTCTTTGATCATTTGACCCGACTCCAGTCTTGTTTGACTCTTCCATTGGAGAGCATTGGCCATCAGCTGACCATCCATTTCCACCACCTCCTGACGATGCCCACTCCTTTCCAGCTGCTTCACACCAAATTCCACTGCCTTGATCTCTGCGATTTTTGGTGTCCAGCAACTCCGCTCCCGTCACATTGCTGCTCTCAGAAACGCTCCATGCCCATCACACATAACCATCCCAAACCCTGTCCCCTCCCCCTTCATTACCGCAGCGTCGATGTTCACCTTAACCCATCCACTCGACGGACGCTTCTAGGTAATTACCCCCACCTCTCGCTCTTGCTTTTCTTGCCGGTGATAGGAGGTGAAATCTTCACGAAAAATGTAATTTTGGGACTCTTCAAGATGACAAAATGAGCATTTTATTGCTGCTTGCTTCTTTCTAGCTTCAATATTCTTCCCAGTTTGTAGGATATTGTTGATTAGCCGCCAGAGGAAGATCTTAATCTTCCCGGGGATGCTAAGCTGCCACATTCTTTTCCAATTCATGGGGTCATAAGCCTCCACTTCTGACTCCACCTCCTCTTCCCAGTCTTCTCCCTCCTGTACCACAGTCTCTAGGGTAGGTTTGCAGCTCTTGTGAGGTAGCCTATAAGTTGTCTTGACTGAGTATGTCCTTGTTCTTTCATAGCTCCACTCTGAACATCTTCAACTTGTTGTCTAGGTATAGGGATTCCCGTTATATGCTCTCGATCTATGGGATTGAAATAGTGCTGCAATAAGTTGTGTTTCCACACTCTGCCTTCATGATCAATGAAGTCAGACACTACTCGAACCTCATTAGTGTCCACAGCAGGTGTCACAATCTAAAAATCATTCTCCTCTGTCCCTGGAAGCCACCTTTCTCCCTATACCTTTACACTCGTACCGTTACCAATCCTCCACCGTAGGCCACTTTTTACCAAGTCTTGTGCAGCCAGAATACTTCTCCATGTGTAGCTTGGATTTGTCCCTAGTTTTGCCAGCAGAACATCGGTGTTAGGGTAATACTTTGCTTTCAATATTCTTGCTATGAGGGATTCTAGATTGGTTAGAGCATCTCCATTGGACTTGCAATTAGAATTGCATTATGAAATGGCATTCATTTGCAATTGCATTGATGTAGATGACAATTGCATCTTTGCAAGCTTGCATATAATGCAATTATGGAATGCAAGCCACATCATCTTTTGTATTATTAAATTATTCATTAATTTTAATATTTGAGTGTTTATGTTTTAATAAATTAAATAAATAAATTAGTTGCAATTGCAAGTTAATTGCATTGATGTGGTGGAATGCAAGTAAGATGAGTTGGATTGCAAAAAAATGAAGTAACAATAAAAAAAACAAATGCAATTGCAAATGCAATTGCACCAATGGAGATGCTCTTAGAAGGTTCCAGATTTTTTTCCCTAGTAGCACAATATTTAAATCTTGTAGATCACTTAAACCCATTCCACCTTCTTTTTTAGGATTACACACCTCTTTCCATGCTTTCCAAGGAATTCTACGTTCCTATTTCTGCTGCCCCCACCAGAAGCTGGATATCGCTTTTCTCGCCTCATTCAACACTCCGTTAGGCACCAAAAAAACAGACATCATGTACGTTTCTTGGGATTGTGCCACCGCCTTAATCAATACTTCTTTTGCAGCTACTGGGATGGTGAGCCCTTTCCAATGCTTTATCTTCTTCCTCATTCTGATAATTAGGACATTGAAGATTGCCTTTTTTCCCATCCTATTACTGTAGGTAGGCCAAGATATTTGGTGTAGTTCCCCACGTGCTTCATTCTCAGAATACGGGCCAATTCATTTATTTTTTCCATTATCACACTTGGATTGAATATCAGCTCTAGCTTTTGCACATTCACCATCTGTCCTGATTCTGCCTCATAAACCTGTAAGATTTCCTTTAGTTGATGACACTCCTGGGGTGTGGATCTCAAAAAGAAAATGTCATCATCTGCAAATAGTAGATGAGAGATCTTAGGACCACGGTTCGAGACTTTCATTCCATGCAATTTCCCTTCTTCCACCGCTTTTGAAGTTAAAGCAGCTAAACCCTCTACGCATAGGAGAAACATATAAGGGGAAATTGTATCACCTTGTCTGAGGCCCCTCTCCGGTTTAAATATTTCAGACTGATGACCGTTCACTAGAATAGGATAGGAAACGGTAGTGATGCATTACATTATAATTTGCACCCATCTGTCAGCAAAGTCCATCTTTCTCATTATCGCCTCTAGGAAGCTCCATTCTACTCTATCATAAGCTTTCGATATATCAAGCTTTGCTGCCATCAGCCCCTTCTTAGCTTTCCTCTTCTGCTTCATAGCATGGAAGCACTCAAAACTAATTAGGACATTATCTGTTATGAATATACACGACACAAAAGCGCTCTGCTACTCCCCAACAACTTGATCAAGGACCCCTTTCAATCTATTAGCCAACACCTTAGACATTATCTATATAGGACCTTGCATAGGCTAATCGGCCTGAACTCTAGGGGTGTGACTGGGTTCTTTGTCTTTGGTATTAGGGCTATTAGAGTGTGGTTTAGTTGATGTAGGAATTCCCCAGCTCTAAATAGCCTCCTAACTCCTCCTTCACTGCCTGCCCTACCACTCCCCAATGCTTTTGGAAGAACCTGGCTGGGATTCCATCAGCTCCAAGGGCTTTATTCGGAACCATCTGTTTCAGAGCTAGCCAGATCTCTTCATCTGAGAGCGGTTTAAGAAGCTCTTGGTTCATCTCATTCGTAACCTTGTTTTAACAGCTGGCATAATTCTGCTCCAAACTGGCATGTTTCCTGCTTTAAATATCCTCTTCATATAATCCAACAAGCAGTTTGTAACCCCATGTTGCCCCACAAAGATTTGTCCCCTTTCATCTTGCAATTTTTTTATAGTGTTTCGTCTTCTTCTTTTAGATGCCTTGCGATGAAAGTACCATGTATTCTGATCTCCCTCCTTTAGCCAGTCAGCTCTAGAGTCTAGATCATTGTATTCTGATTCTCTCCTTTAGCGAGCCGCAAGTTGTGGTTGTCCAAGCCTTCAATTTTGTCTCCACCCACTTTAAGCGATCCATTAGGCTCCCTCCTCCTGCTCCCATCCACCCTTCCTCTATTACTTTTCCACAATCCTCATGCCTCTCCCAATAAGGCTCACAACGGAAACTCCACCCCCAAGTAATCTCCTCTTCTTCCAGGTTAAGTTTTACATGTATTGGTATGTGATCAGAACCACATCTCTCCAGATGATACACTCGCATGTTTGGGTATTGTAACATCCCTACCCTCGTACTAATTATTACGTTATAATTACGTGGTTGTGATTGGGTTACAAAAATTGGTCTTTTGAACCGAAAAGTAAGTGAATAGTTGAGTTTTGGACTTAACTGTCAGGAAAGGAAAGTTGGGGAACCTAAGTGTAAGATATGGATGGTTGGAGGATTGAAGGGGGATTTTGGGGAGATAAAAATCTGCCCCATCCCTCTTATCTCATTGTATTCTCATCTCTTCCCCTCACTCTCTCCCACGTCTCTCTCTCCCTTGCTCTCTTTCTTCCACCTGGTTTCACCACCCCAAAAACCACCATCCCTTTTCAGAAACAAGTAGTAGATAGATAGAGAGAAAAGGATATCAAGGAAAGAAAGAAGAGGGGAAACAAGGGGTGCTGCCAATTTTCGTCCAGCAGCAGGACAGCTTGTGGGAAGGACGATTCTGGACACTTGAGCCGTTGGATCGTTTTGATATTTAGAGATTTTGTTTCATATGTCCTTTTCTACGATTGGACCGTTCGGATCATTGTTATGATCTCTGGTTAATCTAGGAACGTCGCTGGACAGAAGGGGTGAGACATTGCTTTCCTGTAGCAGGACAGCAGATTAGAGGTAAGATCTTGTACGAAGTAGCCGTTGGATCTTTCTATAAATTTGGTGTAATGTTAAGTATATAAGTTTCTTTGAGTTGACCTTTCGGATCTTAGTTTTGAGTTCGAAGTGGTCAGGAACAATTGTTAGAAGTAGGGGAGTTGGATTGAAGTGAGAAGAAAGTAGCTGACAGTTTCGAAACGTCAATTTAAAATGATTTCTGGGCTCAAAATACTGACCCAAATGGTCTGAAATTTGGATATGTTGTATCCCTATGAATCTAGTTTCAGTAGCAATAAGAATCAATTGATTTGGTTAAGTATCAAGGGAGAAATGACCGAAATGATGAAGCAGGGTAAGTGTACGGTTGTATGACTTCCCTAGTGGCCTTATCGACATGCATGAATACAACCACGATTATGATGATTGTATACGTGTCTTGGTGCTTGAATAATCTGGAAAATTTGTATATAAAGGTAAGGAGCAAGCCGGGGGCTCATCCAAAGGCAAGGGCATAGCCTAGTGAAGATAAAACAGTGAGTAGATTCTAGTCTTAGATCTACTTCAACATAATCACAGTATTCGGGTCATGAAGCGGCCCGAATACATATCGGGGTCATGAGGAGGCTCCGGTATAATATGGGAATTTATGGGAAATGATATGGCTATGTGATATGGCGTATTAGTGTTTATTCCTATGGCTATTGTGATATGACTTATTTGTGTTTATTCATTATCTGCATTTGGTATGAAGTTGGAAATGCATGAATTGTGAATGGGATATGGAAAGACATTTTGTTGATTTATTGGGTGGATTATGAGTAAGTATTCGAACTTGCGAACCCGTCTTGTCTGTTTAGATTTGGGGTAAGCCATTAGGCTTACTAATCCTGTTTTGCTTGAATAACTCGGAGTCAGCTCCTCAACTTACATTCCATTCTGTGGTTACTGAGGGTGCAAAAGCACTATGAATGCTTTTGAGCCTATAGTGTCTAAGTGAACTATTAATGAAAAGAGGTGAATACATAAGAATAAGTAAAAAGGCTTTATGATACCTCGGTACAGTAGTGTGTCCTGTTTGTATCGATGTGGGTAAACCCCACGATACTCCTGTTTGAGCGCTCGTGCTCCGCACCGTGCCGATTGGGTGACGACCCACGGTACTCCTGTTCTGTTCAGTTAGCCGGGCTGGGGTAATCCCGTGGCGACTCCTGTTTTTTGTATCGGTCCGGGTTGTGTCCCGCGATACTCCTGTTGGTGCGAGCACTCCTGTTTCGTGCCTTGTGCACTCCTGTTTATATCGGACTGGGTTTTGTCCCGCGGTACTCCAGTTATCTGATGGCTGTACATGGTTATCCTGCAGCCTTCCACTACTGTACTACCCGAGGAGTATATCATTTAGCAAGTCTGAAAGTGAAATTGTATAAGCAAAATGCCTCTATCTGTCATCTGTTTATGTATTTTGACTGTGGAATGTGAGCATGTGAACTGGATTGATTCAGTAAAATGACAAGTGGGATAAACCGCTTAAGTCCTGTTATGTGCTAGGGTGTTTCTGCCCGATACTGTTTTTGTATTGATGCCGATCTGAGCTTAGAATTTATTCACTGAGCGACGACTCATCCTTCGTCATCATTTTTCCTCAGATCAAGATCAGAAGTAAGGTCTCTACTGTAGATATCGGGACTCAAGTTTGAAGGGAAGCCATGAGGTGGGCGGAGGACTCCGAACTCCTTGAATGTTTTATGTTGTGTGGATTTTGTAATAAAGCAGACTTCCCCGGTTTTCTGTTTCAACTCTATTGAAAATGTAAATTATAGTTTGAAGTTTGAAAAAAATACATATATAAAGCTCGGGCCCGAGAATGTTTAAACTCGATGTATTTTACTGTTTCGTTTTGTAATATAAAGTAAGGGTGTTACAGGTATAGACTCCGTCACTCCTCATTTCCCACTACTCTGTCTAGCATTTTCTTCTTGTAATTCTCGTTGCTTTTATTGTTCTCCCACGTGAAAGTTCGCCCATAATAACCACAATCTTCAAGCTTGCACCTTTTTAAGAAATCTCTAAACATATCCATCTCTCGTTCATCAGGACTATGTTTTCCACTCTATTACCAGCCAAGATAGTTGTACCTGTCTATGTAGCTTCTCTATTAGCTCACAAGTTTTGTACTTGTTCTGAGTCTGTGGTCATCCATATATTCCAGTTAGCCTCTAGGCTCGTGTACAGTTAGGCATTCTGATCTGAGCATCAATTAAATGCACAATACAGTCATTGATCTCCATCTGTACCTCCTCTTTCCACATCAGAAGTATACCCCCGCCATGTTGTCCGCTGCTGCAACACCTCGACCAGTGTGGTATCCAAATTCTTTAACTTTCTTTTTCCATTCTTCTTCGAACTGACGTGTCTCCATTAGAAACACTACATCGGGATTTGTTTGACGCAAGAGCGCTTTAATTTTTCAACTGTCAGGGTATTCCCAAGCTCTTGATAGTTGTAGCTCAACAGACTCATTGAGCTTGACGGCCATGCTCCTTTACAGGGTCGCCTCTTCGCCATCTGTATGTGCTTTGTGTCCACCATTCGCCATTTCTACGTCTTCCGAGAAAAGAAAAGTCCTAGCCTTCTTTGATAGCACTTGTTCCTCCTTATTTAGGCTAGGAATCTCGCCTTTATCTTTAATTGTTTCGCTTCAGAGGAGTTACTTGTGATGCTCCTCCTCCCATGGTTTTGCTTGTTCCTGTCTCCTCCAGCTTTTTCCCCTCGGATTCTGTTGCTCTGTTTCAGCAGTCTTTTCCATGATAAGTCTCTATACTGCTCTCATACTTCTTTCATGGCCTATTATTCTTGATTGAGCTCGGTGGCCATGCTCCTTTGCAGGGTCCGCCTCTTCGCCATCCATATGTGCTTTGTGTACACCATTCGCCATTTCTACGTCTTCCGAGAAAATCAAAGTCCTAGCCTTCTTTGATATCACCTGTTCCTCCTTATTTAGGCTAGGGATCTCGCCTTTATCTTCAGTGTTATGCTTTTGAGGAGTTACTTGTGATGCTCCTCCCTCCCTTGGTTTTGCATATTTCTGTCTCCTCCAGCTTTTTCCCCTCAGCTTCCGTTGCTCTATTTCAGCAGTCTTTTCCATGATAAGTCTATGTACTGCTCCCATACTTCTTTCATGGCCTATTATTCTTGATTGGATTTTTTGCTTTGTTCTAGTTATTCTCCCCTAGTCATTCCTCCCAGTGCCCTGCTCAACAGGTATCTTCCTCAGGGCGTTCACCTCAGCCCTCTGAACTGTATCTAGCAAGGTATGTGGCCCTTCTTCTTGTCCTTCAATCGCCTTAGCACCCTCATTCTCTTCATCCTGTGTCTTTGGTTCAGCATCCATGCTTACTGCCTCTACTTCGCATAATTTTCTATCCCTTGATTTGATCCTGTGCTTCCGATTTCAAACTTCTGCCTCAGCTGCCTCCAAATATCTGTATCCGCTTTCCTTGCTTCTAGGGAGAACCATTTGTGTGGGGCTAGAGGTGTTGCTCTTAGGTCAAAACCAAAAGGGTCAGTTGCCAACTGTGTTGGTTGAGGGCATTTCACCTTCACATGGCCAATCCCTCCACAAGAATGGCAAAAGAGTGGTAACTTTTCATACTTGATTTGAATTCCATTAGCTTTCCACCAATATTCAGCTTAATTTTCTTCTTGAGCGGGTTGTTTATTGACATATGCACCCTAACTCACATATAGTCTTCCCACATCTTCTCATCACTATCATCAAAAAATACTAGCTCCCCAAAGCATTTTGCAATTTTCTCCGCCATTGATTGAGTCCTTAGTTCCGTTGGAAAGCCTCAAGTTGTATCCAAATGTCTATTTCATGCAGATCAACTGGTGTTGGCTTTTGAATCATCCCACTGGCTTTGAAGACTATGCTGCAGTTCCCATAATTCCACGGCCCTCCATAGCAGACTTTATTTCGATAATCAAAGTCCAAAAACTGAAAGACAAACAGATTGTTATGCAGATCTGTAATCTGGTAAGTCCTCTTCAGGCCCCAGGCTTTTGATAACGCTATCTTCATCGACTTAATATTTTGTTGTTTATCTGACACCAGGCGGCCAATAAGCCCTAGGTGTCTAGCCGCTTCCGTTCGTACTATATCAATATCGCCATCTTCAACTTCAAGAGGTTCCTCCTCATCTTCCTCCAGCGTGATCCTGTGGAGCAGGTCCTCAATCGCGATTGTTGGGTTAAGTTTATCTTTTGGGGATTCCTCCTCCACTGGTATCTCATCACTTTCCAGAGAAGCCGCCATTCCGGTTTCTGTACCTGGTCACTATAACCAAAAGGAGACTTCGTAGGCACGTCTTCCTTCAGCATTCGCTCCCCTCATATTTTTTGCTTGTAGTATTCCATTTCACAGTCTCGCTAAGAAACCTCGTAAGATTTCTGGTTCTGGTGATTGTGACTAAACAGGAGTTTTCTAATAGCTCTCAATAGAGTAGATCGAAGTTTGCTCTATCTTTCTCGGAATAACCCTTGGGTTTCCGCCGCTTATCAATATTTATTTACTCCATCTTAGCAAAAAAAAATTTATTGATAAGAAGGCAAATGAATGCTAGGAGTTTGCTCTATCTTTATCGGAAAAATCCTACGATTTCATTGTTTGAACGGTTATTGAAGGACCAAACGATTTTTCACGATTCAGCATAAAATCATATGAACCATCACGGTTTAACTGGTCAACTGGTTCACTACTTTAACCACAAAAGTTTGTTTTAATAAAATAATTTAACGTAAAAAAAGACCATCAAGCTATGATTATTAATTTTATATATGGTTCATCTTCTCATTTTCCAACCTTGTTGTCGTTTTTACGTTATCTACTACTAATTGCCACCATAATTTTTAACTTGAATTAAAAAATAATTTCTTTTGTGAGACGGTTTGATTGCTTTATTAGAATTTTTGGTAATGATATGAATTTGAAATTTTTTATGGTCAATAATAACTTTATTTTTTAAATTACTGTAATATACAAGTCTTGTATGTTTTATCATGAACGGTTCTATCGACAGTTTTTTAACGGTTAACCACTGAACCTTAAACCACTAACTTTTCCAGTTCAGCCTCCGATCCGGTTTTGAAAACAGAGATACTAACCACTTAATTTTTTTTGTTGCAATTAAATGACATAAGTCTAATTATGGTTGTAATTAAATCATACAAATTGAATTTTTGTTACACCATCATAATTTCCATCCACAAATTTGACAGAAGGTACCAAACAATAATTATTGTGTTACCATTTTGGAGAAAATAAAATATTTAGAATCATTGTTCACAAATGCCAAACTTTTGTGAACATATTGGATAATTATGCCTTCCACTCTCTCCTTCCTGCTTCTCCTTCCTTCATCACCAGACCACCACACTCTTCCAAAAAAGCCCAAACTCATCAATCCAGTCACCATTTTCGTTCCTATATTTGGTAAATTTCGGTGAGCTAGCTTAGTTCTTTATTTATGGGGTCTCTATCACTCACCATTACAAAATTTCTCTCAAATGGCAAAACCATACCACCACAACATACCCAAACTCCAAAGATCTCCGATGAACTATTAGAAATAACGATGGCTCTCCTGGCGACCGGCTTAACGACTCTCTTCTTAGCGTAGGCTGCTTGATTATCGGCAGTTAAATTTATGCTATCTCCGCCTTTGTCCTCGCCTTCCGAACTCCCTCAGATCCCATGTATCTCCCTCACCGCCTTGGAGCTTCTTCAATTTCCCCTTTAATCTTTTTGCCGAATGATCATGTTTCCTTGCTTGCATATGACAGATGGATGGTCGCCACTATACTTTGATTGCTACACCATCCTTTTCTTCTTGACGGTGAATTGTATTTCTTCAATGGATCTTTCACCATTTTTTACACTAGGGGAACTGTACATGTTATAGTTATTTTACTTGGAATCTTGTGCTTCAAAATGAATGAAGGGGTATAGGCAATTGACTCATTCTAACTGCAACATCCCAATCGACGGCCAAGTATAACCGCCGACCGGGTGTAGCATAGGGCAAACAAGCAATAAGAATTTATCGCATCACTGGGATCTAGGCTTACCCTACTTCAGGTTTAGGGTTTGTTATCTAGCCAACCTAGGATAGTGATTGATAGAATTAAACTAACTAACCTAGATTAACCACTAACCTAGCTATTTACAAGGTTGGGAGCTCTCTTGGGTTGAATCGTCCTTGGTCCGTTCTTTGGATCAATGTTGGGTATCCTCCTAGCTTGATCGACTCAAATACACTACCGCTTGGAGATGGACTCCCTCAGGAATTACCCGGAATAGCAAATCAATGGATGGGTAGTGCTATATTAAACCTAGGGTATCGTATATTGCTAGGAGACTGGTCGAATCAACTCCCTTGGTGACTGCCCGGAAAATATATATAGGAGTGACCCGAAGACGCCAAGGAAGGGGCTCTAAGGGGATTATCCCACTCCTAGGTCAAAATCTCAAAGCATGAAAATGGAAACCACACTCATGCCATTCAAGAAAACATCCATCAATTTAGTAAAATCAACAATCAAACTAGGGATTTTGTCACATACATCAACAAACCCAAAACTAGACCTAGGGTTCTTAAACCCAAGAGAAGCGGGTGAGTTTCTAGAGAGAGGGAGGAGAGATTACTAATAAACCTCTAGATCTTCTTCTTCTTCTAGGCTTGATTCCTAGCTTCCAAACTTGATCAATGCCTTTAATAAAGCTCCAAGATAACTCTCTCTCTCACTAGAACTCCCCTTTGGTGTTTTGGGTTGAAACCTTAGAGAAAGAAAGTGTTCCTTCTCCAAAAACCAGCTGCTCTTTCTCTCTCCGTTGCTGTCTTCATATTTGCCCGAAAGTGACCAGTTCATGGCCGCGTTGGCCAGTTCACGGTGGTGAACACCTAAATGCGTCCGTGAACCCAGCATCGTCTCCAAAACGCACTGCTTCACTCTCCTGAGTTCACGGTTTGTGCTCCAAGTTCACGGTCTTAGAGATCGTGAACTCGTCTCGTGGTAGTAACTGTATATTTCTCCCTGGATGCCTCGATGTTCAAGGTTACAGGGCAATTTTCACGGTCGCTAATTGCGTCCAAACCGTGAATTTGGATGTTTTTTCACTTTTTGGCACTTTTCGACCTCCAAACCCGAAACTCGTCCTCGACCTTCCGACACGTGCTAGGACCTGAAATGTATCAAAACAAGCACAACCTAGTATGAAATATGTCGAGGAACGGTGAAATGCAAAGTCAAACTATCAAGAAATGAGAGGCAAAATGTGTACATTTGGACCCGAATCGGCAATTATTTGAAATGGTCACATAAGCTTGATATTTGTGAAAACTGATTATAAATTTTTCATTTTCACCAAAATGGTGACACAATAATTACCATTTTGTACCTTCCATCAATTATGTGGACGGAAATTGTGATGGTTCAACCAAAATTCAATTTATATGATTTAGTTACGACCATAATTCAACTTAAACGACTTAGTTCCAACAAAAATAAGTTAGATGGCTAGTGTGCTTCCAAAGCTAGTATGCGACTCTATTTTTTTCACGATATGTAGGAACTACTCGCACCACCCAACTTTGAGCAATCATTCGTCGAATAACACTTAGAATGGTAGCGTAAGGGTGAACTTGATCTTTTCTTTTTTAGATCAGCTCCAACGGAAACTGAGAGTTTGATTCCACCACCAAGAAATGATTGTTTTGTTTCCAAACCAATTTCAAACCTTCAAGGATGCCCCAAAGAACTGGCATGATTACTGTTCCGGTGACTAACTTGCTGCAAAAACTGCCATGCCAGTCACCACTATTATCCCGAATGATCCCACCTGCAGTAGCTAGCTTTGAATCACCCTGCCACACTCCATCAGTGTTAACTTTATACGAGGCAGCATCAGGAGCTTTCCATCCAATAAGCGTCTCTTGCCTGGGATGTTGGCAATCAAGTCACTCTTTAACTTTGCCACCTGTCAAGCCTTTGCTCATACTCAAGCTTTGGTGATCACATAATTTTTTAGCGTCGAGTCTGAGAGTTTCTCTCCCCTGAAAACATTTCCATTCAAGCATTTCCAAATATACCACAAGGTGAAGCGAAAGAAACTCTCCCACTTGCCTGGCCAGTTGTCTTCTGAATTGTCTTTGAGGTTCGAGTACAACCACCTACTAAGCTGAAGAGAACACATGTGTTGTATTTTTTGCAGAGGAATGACTTTTTCCATACCTCTATTGCTTTGGAGCAGTCTCACAAAGAGTGTATATTGGTCTCTGGGTTATCGCTACACTCCGAAAAAGTTGTCATCCTTAGTTAAGTGTTTGTACTTGAGGATATTGTTGGTAGATAGCCTTCCTTGCATTGTCATCCAGATAAACACCCTTACTCTTGATATGATTTCTTCTTGAAATGGCCATTTGATGTAAGATTCCAGATGTCTTGATCCATCTTTGTTGTTAAGGGATTCACTAGGACCCTTCTTATTTGATCAACAACTGCTTGTGAGAGGAATTGTTGAAAGTCCCATATCTTCCATCCTTGCTCCAACTCCCAATAATTCGCGACCAGTAGGTCTCTATTGTCTACTATAACCTGTGCAATGGTCACATCCAGCAAGGGTAGTTGTTTCTATTATTGCGACCATAGATTGTGTAGATGCCTAGATATTTGTCCAAATCAGTAGTCAGTTGAACCCATGCCCGGAGACTCAAAGGTTGTGCCTTGTCATGATGAACCTTGGCTGACATGAGCATGACTGATTTGTTTAAGTTGATCCGCTAGCCAGAACTTGTGCAGAAGTCATGTAGACCTCTTCGAATAACTTCATTGTGTGAGTATCTAGCTTCTTCAAAGAGAATCAAGTCGCCAGCAACAAAATATGAGAAAGTTTTGTGACATTAGTTGTAAGGGATAGGGGTCTCCAATGCTTTTCTTCCACGACTTCTCAATGCTAAACTCTCCTCACACAACACAAAGAGGTAAGGTTAAATGGGATCATCCTACCGAACCCCTCTAGATGGAATCATTACTTCTGTAAGCTTTCCATTCCAGCTAATCTTCATTTTATACTTTTCAACACAGAACATGATCCTGCTGATCCATGTGCTTGGAAGTCCTATTTCGATCAGCATGTCACGGAGAAAATCCCATCTAAGCTTAACATATGCTTTCTCCCAATCAACTTTGATCACCATGCCCCCCTTCTTCCCTTCTTCTTGTGGAAAGAATGTAGGACCTCCCAGAGAAGAGAGATATTATCATTAGTTTGTCTCTCTTTCATGAATCCACTTTGTGTCTGCGCTATACTAGTTTGGGCATCAGAGATTTGAGGCAGTTGGACATGGCTTTAGTGATGGTTTTCAAGCTGATGTTATTCAAGAAATTCAAATTAGTAGGGGGTAAATAAATGAAAAAAGTAGGGAGTACATAAATATTTTGACAACTAACTCTGTTGTGGACAATCAGTGGAATATTTATTGAGATTAAATTTAATGTTTCAACTTTCTCGTAGAAATTCAAATTAGTGGGGCGGGCGAATGAAGTGAACGCGCGGTTCAAGCAGTTCAGACAGTTAGCCGTTTCGGACGTGCGGCCTGTTATTGACAAATTATAAACATAGTTAGTAAAATACCATATCTGTAAGTTACGTATAAATTATGTACATGTATTTTACTTCATCTATAAACTAATGGTAAGTTTAATAGTACACCAATAGTTATAAAATATATAAATAAATTAATATAATAATAAATTAATATAATTATATTAATTAACTTAGCAATTAAATTCATTAAATTCAAATGTTAAACGTGTTATATAAGTTTTATACGTGTTTAATACGGGAGCTATCAAATGCGAACCAAGAAAAATAAAACCGGTTGACAATACACAAAAACTGCGGCCTAAACCAGGACTCAATCCACTGCCCAGCGGCGCCGGCAGCGAGCTGAATTGCGGTAGGGCGACTGTCTTACGTGGCAATTGGAAATGACAAGTGGCGTCAGGCCGGCACTCCTTTTATCATCCTTTTTATTTCAGCCCGTCGCCTCCCTTTTCTTCTTCTTCTAAGAACCCACCGATACTCGCCATTTTCAGAACCCTCTAGCCGTATTTTGAGTGATTAGACTCTCCACTCTCCAGAAAACCAGACCATGGCGCTCCGATCTCTCTTCTCTCGCACATCCCTCGCGGGATTATCGGCAGCTTCCAGGACCTCGTCTTGCCTCGACTCCAAGGCCCTAGGGCTGGCAGGGCTCGCCCAATCCCGAGGATTGAAGACCGCATCTCTCCCCGATCTCCCCTATGATTACGGCGCCCTGGAGCCTGCCATCAGCGGCGATATTATGCAGCTCCACCACAAGAAGCACCACCAGACCTACGTCACTAACTACAACAAGGCTCTCGAGCAGCTCCACGAAGCTACTCTCAAGGGCGATGTCGGTACTGTTGTTAAGCTGCAGAGCGCCATCAAGTTCAACGGCGGAGGTTCTATCCCTCCCTCCCTCCCTCTATCCTTCTCTCCTTCCGGTTCCCTTCTTTGTTTAGCTAAGTTGATTAGGGATCGATTAAATTGTTATAGCAATTTTTGTGATTGTTATTCATTTTGTGATGGTGAGACGAGGTAAATGATATGCGGACAGTAAATTTCTGGCGTGGAAAAAGGAGGATTGAATTTGATACTTCTCCTCATAGTCATACTACTGGGCAGTTTACCGAACTGATAGATGATAAGGTGGCATGGAGAGTTTGATGTACTTTTTTATTGGTAATGAAGACTTCGATCGTACTTATCGTTTCCATTTTGTAAGCCAGTGTGAGTAGTAGGCATGTCGACAGCTATGGAGGTCAAAGGGAGCATCTTTGATGCAGTATTGCCCTTTTCGTAACTTACAAAGCGGATTTGGTTGTGGTTACTGTTACTATATGACTGCAACTGCAGATTCTGGTGGTCTTAAGCTTGCAATTCTCTCCTGAGCTTTTGTATGCTCTCCCAATTTCTTGATCAATATGCTATATGTTTTATCATGGGCGTTGGTATAGAATACAGTTCAAGATATAATCTAAACCACAGGAATGAACCTAATGAGTTTTTCGTCTTGCTACAGGTCATGTAAACCATTCAATCTTCTGGAAGAATCTTGCTCCTGTTCGTGTAAGTTTAGCTTCTACCGTTGGATTGGCTTCTCTTTTAGTAGCCTACCTGACATATTAACATTTAATCCTTGAAGGAAGGAGGTGGTGAACCCCCACATGGTTCCTTGGGCTGGGCTATTGACACTCATTTCGGTTCCGTGGAAGCATTGATCCAGAAAATGAATGCTGAAGGTGCCGCTCTCCAAGGCTCTGGATGGGTGGTAAGTTACTTCATCAAGTCGTTGAGGTCTATAACAGGGTGTTAATTAGCTCTCTGTGTATGTGTGTGTTTCATGACATATTCTTACTTAGCTGTGATAGCTGGTAGTTAACAAGTTTTTATTTGTGCTCGAAATTTCTGCCTTCCAGTGGCTTGGCCTCGACAAAGAGACAAAGAAGCTTGTAGTTGATACCACCGCAAATCAGGTAAATCGAAAAGTAATGTATGAGTTGTCAAGTATTGGTGATGCTGGATGTGGTTCCCTTTCTCTTTTTAATTCTTGTTGCCGAGGCATTGTTATGCTTCCTGAAAGTATAGTTGTTTGTGGGCATCCTTTATACTTCCTATTCATGATTGCCAAGTTTACCAACAGATGCAAATGGTGAATTTTATGTTCTTATCATATAGGCATATGGCACTGCTGCCTGTAAAGTTAAATCAGTAGCAACTAGCAGGCAAAATGCAAACCACATGCTATTCGTCCTGAAAAATAATTTATCAGCCTCAATCCAACACACTCTTGTTTACTATCCCTTGATAATTTTGACATTATATTTGATTATGTCTCGTGTCTGATAGTAGTGACCTGTTCTCTGTCTATCCATTTAACTGTTACATTTTTTATTGAGTTGTGCTGTAATAAATCTCTACTGCTGTAATCACTGCTCGATTCACTTGCTTATGAAATGTGTTTATTTGTTCATATGACGGATTTTCAAATCTATTTGGCCTGCATAACATATGTTTCTGGCTATTGTAACAGGATCCATTGGTGACTAAGGGAGCAACTTTGATCCCATTACTTGGCATCGATGTTTGGGAGCATGCATACTACTTGCAAGTAAGCTTCTCGGCATGTGAAATGGGACTCTTTATGCATTCATACTCGTAAACATAATGTCTGTGCAATCAGTAAGACGATTGAATATAGGGGTCGTTTGGATGGTTGTTGTGTAACGAGTTAATATAAAAGTGGAATTCCTCACAAAATGAGAATGTGGTATTTGTGAGTTATTTCACCATAACTACCCCTATAAGGTATTGACAATAACTCATTAATAAGTTATTTCAAATTAACTCAAGTACCAATAACTCATCACCAACTTTTGTAGACAAACGGGTTATTGCACCCAAATAACTCAAAAGTTATTTGGGTGCAAATAACTCATATGAATAACTCATCCAAACGACCACATAGGGTTGATGAAGATCTTTTAAGATTATGCCAACCCCTCTCTACTATCATCTGATAGTAAAATGAACTATTACTTGCTTTGACATGTTATCCATGTTTAGTTCAAAAGAAACCCTGACTTGGTGCATATAGCGATGGAGAAGGTCCCTTCTCTGAGTTTGTATGCGTGTCAGTGGGCACCCAAAGTGCTATGTCCTTCACCGTGTCATCAAGTTTTAAAAAACTCATTTCTTGATTCAGACAATGATATATTCTCAGCTGCTAGAAATATTGATTGGTGACTCCTGATTCCTTAAAAAAAAAAAAAAACTTTGCTACTGCATGGCAATTTGCATGCGAGGACTTGTGGCTTATTCATTTGCCATTTAGTGGCAAGGAGTGACTTAATAGGAGGAGCCTCCTTGGGAAAACAAATTCATCTTTGTTGTTTCTATGTTGGTGTGTTACTGAACAAAGTATTTAAGTGTCTCTAATCTATGCAAGTTCGAATCCTTTTATGTTGTCAGCTCATAACTGTGTCTTATACCTGTCTGCTCAGTTGACAAGTCGGGACAGATTCTGTACTTAAAGAAGTTTTATGCAGTACAACCCTCTGCACTGAAACCTAATCTAAAAATTCGAAGTTATAAACGAAATTTTATATTCTGTACAACCCTCTGCACTGAAACCTAATCTAAAGATTCATGCAGTAAACCTCAACGGCTTATAACAATGTCTTCTGCATTGTGTTACCATAACCATGGCTCTGTTTAATCACAAAGGCATGATCTACTCATGCTTGGTTACAATTTTGCGTGCTGCAGTACAAGAATGTGAGACCGGATTACCTGAAGAACATATGGAAGGTAATGAACTGGAAATATGCGGGTGAAATTTATCAGCAGGAGTGCCCTTGAGCTCAGACTAGCACTTCTACCTCCGGCCATGTCCATTGGGAGGGGGGTCTGCTTTGAAGATCTGGTTAATCGAGCAGATGAATAAACAGTACTGTTTTGAGAAGCGGTTAGCTTATTGTTAAGAACACGAGGAGCCAAGTTTATTTTGTTCAGTTCTTGTTTTCACCTTCTGAGTGGCTTTTAAGGCTCAATGCATAATAATAAGAATAATGGTGTGTTTCGAATTTGATTCCATACTTCATGCTTGTCAGTTGTCACACCCGGTACCTAGTTTTTTTCAGAATTCTTAAATTGCACTCTGTCAATTGCCTATGGTAATTAATATATTTAACCCTAATCCACCGTATGTATATATATATATAAATAAATAAATAAAAGTAGAGAAATTTTACAATGCTATATAGTATTGGTGCTATAGGTTTTTACCTTTATGGTACAACTTAAAATTGTACATTTATGTTATGGTACAACTTCAGATTGTACCTTGTACAAATTCTTTTATGGTACAACTTGAACTTGTACCTTTATGTGATGGTACAACTTGAAATTGAAAAGTTGTACCATTACATAATGGTACAAATTGCTTTATGGTACAACCTAAACTTATACATTTAATAAAGCACCAATACTATATAGCATAGTAGAAGTGCTCGTATAAGTAACCCAAAGAAAAGGAGAACAAAGGCTGCCGCAACCCTTCCCCATTCTTTTACTCCCGCATAAGACCTAGCTGCCAAGACGAAGCTCTCTTCGGCCGTGAGAACCATAGACCAAAACTCCATCACGACCATTGGCCAAACCTGCGGGACATAATCACCAATCATCCATCGATCTAGCCTAATCAAATCATCATCGGACCCATCCTCGTATTGCTCAGTGGAAGAGGTTGTGGGAAGGCGAACGTCGGATACATTGCCATTGATCGCGAAGTCCTTTCCTTCGATCGACACCAAAAAACCATGAGTACGAGGTTATAAGTGCGGAGATCACTGGCAGGCATATTGAGATATCACACCGCATCACGAGAGGAGGTATTGCTTCTCGCCAAGTCGAGGCGAACGATTTGATTAGTAAGGTGCGTGGTTAAAGGGGGCTAAAGTAGTTCTGTTATCAGTCTATGCGTTTAAGTTCCTGTTATGCATTTCAGTTCTTGCTTATGTTTTTGTTATTGCTTTATGCTTTCATATTAAGTTATTTGTTTACGTTCAGTCTTTACGTTAAGTAAGCATAGCATCTTGAAACTTAAGTAAACAATGTTAAGAGTCAAGCAAATACAAGATCAATTATAAGCTAATTAAAGTGCAAGTTAATAAGCTTATATCTTCCCATAGTGCAGGAGATCACCTAAGTAAGCTCGAACTTCTCAAGTGGAATAAGCAAGTTAAGTATGTTTCTCCATCATGTGAGAGGTTGTTTCAAGCAAACACATATAAGGTATCAAGTTAGTAAGTAAGAATAAGAACTCTCACTTGACTAGTCCCACGCGGTCACCCTACTCCTTGTAGATGAGGGGTCATGATATGTATGTCACGATCGGTGTCGGACGCGATTACCATTACTCCTTGTAGATGGGGAGGTATATTATGTTACTCTTGTAGATGAGGAGATTATGTTCATGATACGTTGGTGATGAACGGTTGTACTAGTTAAGTCGAGTGCGAGATCCCATCTCAAGTTAAGTAAGCGAAGAACACTATAAGTAAGAATATGTTAATAATAATAATATACTTCTACTAATGTACCCAATAACGTACCATAAGCATTGCATGTGCATAGTTGTTTGTTTACGTATGATAACGAAATTAGGATTAGGACTGACCCCATTGCCCGCATTTAGGAGTTGCAAAGGAAGTGGGAGCAATCAGATCGCTCGTTAGGAGGAAGCTGCTCGAGATATCATCTTCACAAGGGTTAGTGATTGTAGAAGAATCCAAGTGAATTCCTTATGTATTTTTATTAGCAGGGTTGAGACTGATGCTCATTTATGATTTGTTAAAAAGGATTTCGTACAGTGATTTGAAATTATTTATGTTGTTCTTTCCATTTTGAGTTATTTTGATTACTCAAGGGCATTTTGGTAAAAGTAGTGCTCGGCCGAGTTAGGGTGTTACATTTTGGTATCAGAGCCTCTCTGTGTCCCTCTTGAACAATGGTGGGCAAAACTCAATGAGGGCGTTCAGTCCCAAGGAGAGGGTGTATGTAACACCTTAGGTAAATCCCACATCGACAAAGCACGGGAGAGATCCATGGTTCATAAGTTAGAAATCGGTCTTTATTGACAAGACGCATTTTTGGCTGAAATGGAGGGGTTCTAGTGAGAACTCCGAAGTTAAACGTGCTCAGTGTGGAGTATAACAATGATGGGTGACCTTATGGGAAGTCAACCTTGAATTGCACCCCAAATCGAATCCGTGCGGGTGTAGAGGCCCAGAGCAGACAGTATCTTGTCGGGAAAAGGTTCGGGATATTACAAGTGGTATCAGAGCCTGGTTCCCTCTATCTGCACTTTGTAAGTGAGATACTGGGAATTCGGTCTTTAGGTTTCAACAAGCTTTAAGGGTTTTAACTTTTCAACCAAGTTTTCACGAAAACCTAAAATCGTTTTTGAGCATCCAGTCTTGTCTACTAGTAATGTCCGAAGATTTTGATGCAACATCGTTTCCTTATGTAGTAGTATGAATGGAGAGAGCTCTCAATAAGTTGGTGTTCGACATCCACCTCCGAACTACGATGCACTTAGGAAGATGGGTGTCAAGGACTTTGAGGGATCTTCCGACCCTGATATGGTTGATGCATGGCTTTTGAAGCTCTCCCGCACCCTAGACGAGCTGCACATCGATAACCATGAGGACAGGATCGCCATGGTTGTCCACATGCTCCAGGGAACTGCTAGAGATTGGTCGCACCTCCAACCGGAGAGTGAAGTGGTACCACTGGAGATCACCAGGAACCAGTTTGTGAAGATGTTCCTCGATGAGTACATCCCCCAAACAGTCCAGGAAGATAAGAGGGAAGATTTCATGAAGTTGGAGCAGCAGTAGGGGCAGAGTGTCACGGAATATAAGAAGCTGTGCAAGTATGTTGATCCCGTGTATCAGACTGCAGCAGGGACGCGAGATCGTTATTTTTGGGGTTTGAGGGCAAAACTGAGAAAATATATGGGAGAAGTAGAGAGGGCATCTCAAGCCACTGCATACCGAGATGCCCTTCACATTGAGAGGGACGAGAAGATGGCTGAACATGAGAGGGATGCGAGACTCGGTACGAAGAAGAGGAAGGAGTTAACCAACTTTGGAGTCACGACTTACTCGACCCAACCTTCCAAGCGGGGATCTGGTTCATCTAGCCAACATCAGTTCTGGAGCCAGGGGATCTCCACAAGATATGCACTGGCACAACAGCTATATCCACTATGCCCGAAATGTGACAAACGTCATCTAGGCGAGTGCATGCGTGATATGGGCGTTTCTTTCGAGTGTGGCGAGCCAGGACATCAAAAGTGGAACTGTCCATGACTTGCGGATCGTACAAAGGTTATCTCTGAGCCCTCAGTCGGTGGTGGTAAAGCACAATCAGGAAGTAGACTGAATGGTAGGACTAACGAATTGAGCAACGACAATGGTGGACGTTTCAATAGCAACAACACCCGACATGTCGGTCACGATAAGAATCAAATGTCAAAAGCTGGTGGGCAACCTAGAGTCTTTTCCATGGAAAAGATAGAGGGTTTATATAATGAAGATTTAAGGGAGGAACCCACGCACTGAAGTAATTATGTGGGTGATTGAAGAGGTGATAAGAGGGAATCATCCAAACTTGTTCTTGACTATATGAATCGATTTTTTTTACTATAGTTATGATCGGATAGTAGCATTATAATGTTAGCAGTAATAACGGAGACCGTTATGACCTCAATTTCGAGGATGAAATTTTTCTTAAGTGGGTGGGAAATGTCACACCCGGTACCTAGTTTTTTTTAGAATTTCTAAATTGCCCTCTGTCAATTGACTATTGTAATTAATATATTTAACCTAATCCACCCCACCGTCTATCTCCATATGTATATATATACATATAAGTAAACCAAAGAAAAGGAGAAAAAAGGCTGCTGCAACCCTTCCCCATTCTTTTACTCCCGCATAAGACCCAGCTGCCAAGGCGAAGCTCTCTCCAGCCGTGAGCTCCGTAGACCAAAAATCCATCGCGACCACTGGCTAAACCTGCGGGACATAATCACCAATCATACATCGATCTAGCCTGATCAAATCACCATCGATCCCATCCTCGTATTGCTCAACGGAACCGGCTGCGGGAAGGCGAGCGTCGGATAATACATCGCCATTGATCGCGAAGTCCTTCCCTTGGATCGACACCAAGAAGCCACAAGTACGAGTTTATAAGTGAGGAGATCACTGGAAGACATATTGAGATATCACACCGCATTAGGAGAGGATGTATTGCTTCTCGCCAAGTCGAGGCGAACGATTTGACTAGTAAGGTGTGTGGTTAAAGGGGGCTAGAGTAGTTTCGTTATCAGTCTACGTTTAAGTTTCTATTATGCATTTCAATTCTTGATTTATGTTTATGTTATTGCTTTATGCTTTCATATTAAGTTATTTTTTTACCTTCAGTCTTTACGTTAAGTAAGCATAGCATCTGGAAACTTATGTAAACTATGTTAAGAGTCAAGCAAATACAAGATCAATTATAAGCTAATTAAAGTGCAAGTTAATAAGCTTATATCTTCCCATAGTGTGGGAGATCACCTAAGTAAGCTCGAACTTCTCAAGTGGAATAAGGAAGTTAAGTATGTCTATGCATCGTGTGAGAGGTTGTTTCAAGCAAGCACATATAAGGTATCAAGTTAGTAAGTAAGAAGAATAACTCTCACTTGACTAGTCCCACACGGTCACCTTACTCCTTGTAGATGAGGTGTCATGATATGATACATTGGTGCCGAACGGTTGTGCTAGTTAAGTCGAGTGCGAGATCCCCTCTCAAGTCAAGTAAGCGAAGAACACTATAAGTAAGAATATGTTAATAATAATATACTTATACTAATGTACCTAATAACGTACCATAAGTGATAAGCCGTTAATTGCACATGTTTTTACCCCTATTATGGAGCCGTTTGAGGTGTTGATTCTCGTGTTTTAGACCGTTTTCACGCTAGGTTGTGCTTGTTTGTGATATTTCAGGTCCTAGTAAGTGAATGAAGGTTTGGGAGCGAGTTTGGGGTCGATTGGACGAAGATCGGACGCGTGGCGAGTCGCTGAGGAAGCCACACGGGCACACACAAAACCCACACGGCCGTGCAAGCAACCAAGGTGGCCGTGTGGGATTGTGTGAGCCTTCACACGGGCACAAATACAAACCACACGGCCGTGTGAAGGAGTAATTTGGCCGTGTGGAATTCTGCGAGGCTTCACACGGGCAGGCTGGGTGATCTACACGGCCGTGTGCCCCTGGCCGTGTAGGAAGCCTGAAACCCACATAATCGGAACGCCGCATTTTGATCTCACACGAGCAACTGGGTATGCCACACGGACGTGTGGCCTGCCCGTGTGAGTCGGGATTTTCTGGTTTTAAGCCAATTTCCAGCCATAAGTGAAGGGGATTCGAGTTTTAGAGAGACAGAGTGATTCCTAGAGAGAGAAAGCGACGAACAAGAGTTCCCAAGTGCCCTAGCTTGATCTTCATCACCATTGGAGCTTGGCTTGAGCTTGGAGTAGTGCCGATCAAAGCCCAGGAGCAGAAATCCATCCTTCACAGTATGGTTTCCGCATCTGAATCTGCTTTTGCTTCTTTCTCCATGGAGTAGTTCTCCCATTCATCTGGGTATGGGAAACCCTAGATTTGTTTGTTAGGTTTGATTGTATGAACCCAAGTACAGATTTCATGAGTTGATTATATTCGATTGAGGCTTGAATGATTGAATGACTTGAATCCTGATCAAATTCCTGTTGTTTCTGGTTTAACCTAGAATGAGAATATCTGCCTAGGTTGATAGAGCACCCTTAATTGAAGGTGGCGAATTGGTGACTTTAGTCGAGGAGCCAATTCGCTATTCTGTACCGAATTCAATACGGTAGTGGAGGTTTGGTTCGTTAGAGCCTCAATCTGTTTACTCCGGTGGAGGTTAGTCGCCCACTGGAGACTCAGATTGAGAGGGTCTGGAGACCTTTCGTCGAGACTTCAGACTGTTTAAGAACCTTCCGCAGTATAAATTTCATGGAAACTGAACTTGGTAAATTGCAATCCGGCTTAACTGTAGTCTAGGGGGAACCATATCCAGGTGACCTCTCTCGACTTGAAAACAACCGTTTAACTTGCCTTGTGTTTTTGTTTGTTTGAACCTGCACTTAAGTTTTCACCGCTAGATAATAAGAATTCACTGAGTAGTCATCATATCTAGGACCCGGGTTGACATTAAAACCCAAACCCGCTATACTACACTTTAGGAAGTGGTAACACTTGGCCAATTTCTAGAGTGACAGTAGAAGTGAGTCAAGTTTTTGGCGCCGTTGCCGGGGACGGCTAGGTTGTTGAAGAAAAGTGATTTCTGTTAATTTAGCTTCTCTTTTCGCATTGTTTGCTTTGTCCCACTTGTGCCTTCACGGGTTTGCTTGCTTGAATGTGTGCAGGTAGTGCATGACCCGTAGCCAGTCGGGAGGTTTACTGCCGTTGAATCCAGAGATTGAACGCACCTGTCGCCAACTCAGGGGACAACAGCGAGCTAGACTGGCTACGGAGGAGCGCATAGACGGCCATTTGAGCAGCGAGTCCGAGAACGAGTACGAGATGGAAAGAGATTACAATCCACACCAGGGGAATCCTCACCAGGCTCCCCCGGTAAATCAGGTATTGGGGAACTACCCCATACCCCAGGCAGATGGGGTTCATCATCATCCACCGCCGCCGGGTCCCACCTTGGAGTACTACTACACTCCACGGATTGCAGACATCCGCCCGGTCATCCTCTACCCGCCTTTTCCAGCGAACAATTTTGAGATCAAGCCATGCTGGATTCAACTCATTACATCCTCTATCCAGTTCCATGGCTTGAAGGATGAGGAGGCAAGGGTGCATCTTTCCCGTTTTCTGCAGCTGACAAACGGGTTCAAGCTGAACGGTGTCCCTGATGATGCAATCCGCCTTCACCTCTTCCCCCATTCTCTGGCGGGGAATGCCAAGAGGTGGTTGGAGACCCAGCCCCCATTATCCATCACTTCTTGGGATGATCTGGCTGACAAGTTTGTGCACAGGTACTACCCAGCATCGAAGACCACAGAGATCCAGCGGGAGATCACTCACTTTCGCCAAGAGCCAGACGAGTCACTTCGTGATGAATGAGAGCGGTACATGGGATATTTCTGGCAGTGTCCCCATCATGGCTTCAGTGATGCATTCACAGTGGGGAACTTCTACAGTGCCCTCTCTCCGGACAGCCAGAGGGTGATTGAGTCTCTATGCCCAGGAGGGGATATTCTTACTAAGACTCCACCCGAACTGAACCAGATGATCAGTACCTTGGCTGCTAGAGATCATTCCTGTGGGCAGAGCAGCAGAGGCAGAAATTCCCGGGACCGTGGTGTGCACGCCATGGAGGCCAGGTTTGGGCTCGAGCAGCAGGTGGCCGAGTTAGTGCTGACATTGAAGCAGCCCAACAGTCTTATTACGGGCAGAGGTTTGGCTACACCTCCAGTAGCTCAATGTTAGTGGTGTGAGAGCTCAATTCACCTAGTGGAAGACTGCCAGGCTATGAGGGAGTCAACTACTCCCCAATAGCAGTTGGACTTCATCGCCAATGCTCGACGCTTTGACCCCTACAGCAATACATATAATGAGAGGTGGCGCCAGCATCCCAACTTCGCTTGGAGTAGCAACACCACTAAGCCACCTGGTTTCCCAGCACCAGCTGGTGGCTTTCAGCAGAGGCAGCCCTTCCAGGCTCGACAGGGGCCAGCCCCACAGTCGCAGCCCTACCAGCCTAGGCAGGGGCAACCATTCCAGCAGCCCCAGCATCAGTTTGCCGAGCCAGCAGCAGCTCCGGCTCCAGATACTCAGATGAAGGAGCTGAAAAACATTCTAGCGGCATTCATGACTACCACCCAGCAGAGCATAGCCTCACTGGAGGCAGGTCAGAGGAACCAAGGTGCCATTTTTCAAGATTTGCAGAACCAGATGGGTAGCATGGCTCGCTAAAACACTACCAGGGCACCGGGGTCTCTGCCTGCCACACTATTCCGAATCCGCGTGAGCCTCACAAGCACCAGCAGCTAGATGCCATCACTACCAGGAGCGGCAAGACCACATCTGCTGCTCCTGCCAAGCCCAGCCAAGATGAGCCACTACCTGCTCCAACACTTTCAGCTGATAATGCAGAAGGCGGGGGAGACAAAGAAGCACCTGCTCCCAAGCCACAGCCAGTGGTTAAGGAGCAGTACCCCAGCTTCCTTTTCCCACTCGCCTACATAAAGATATGCTGGAGACTGAGTTTTCCAAATTCATAGCAATGTTGAAGCAGGTCAACATCAGCATGCCGTTCGTGGAGGCACTGTCGAAGATGCCCAAGTACGCCAAGTTCATTAAGGACCTCCTCACCAACAAGAAGAAACTTGGGGATCTTTCGACAGTGATGCTGAGCGAGGAGTGTTCTGCTATCCTGCAGAACAAGCTGCCCGAGAAGCGTAAAGACCCAGGGAGTTTCACTATCCCTCTTGTTATTAGCAGCATGCATGTAGGAAAGTCCTTGGCGGACCTAGGCGCTAGCATAAATGTCATGCCCTACAAATTGTTTAAAAAGCTAGACCTAGGTGAACCTAGAGCTACTAGGATGAGCATTCAGTTAGCTGATTTTTCCATCGTGCATCCTAGGGGTATCATTGAGGATTTGCTTGTTAATGTGGGTGCATTCACATATCCTGTTGACTTTGTTATTCTGGATAATAATGAGGATGTGGATGTACCTTTGATTTTGGGTAGACCGTTTCTCGCCACCGCCAAAGCGCTTATTGATGTGCATAGTGGTAAATTGATTTTGCGTGCTGGTGATGAACAATCTACTTTTTCTGTGTCTGAGAATGGGAAACACTCCCATTTTCATGATGACGTAGATTACTGTGATGTGCTTGCTGATTTTGAGACCGCAATCGCTATAACGAATGCGGGTACTGACGATGCTCTTGAGCGCTGTATTTTTCTAGGTGAGCAGGCATCGCATGAGCCGCAACTGGCGGAGCAGTTGGTCGCGCTGGAGAGTGGCCCATTCTTGGAGGGTGGCAGGCTGTTCAAGCCGATCTCATCCTCACCCCGCATCACTACCTCCTTGGAGGAGCCACCAGAGCTGGAGCTTAAGCCCCTCCCTCCTCATTTGGAGTATGCATTTCTCCGGGAGGGGAATAAACTTCCAGTCATCATCAGCTCGACCCTCACGCCCAAGCAGAAGGACAGACTGGTGGCCTTGTTGCAGCGGTACGAGCGAGCCCTAGCATGGAAGATCACAGATATTCAGGGGATCAGCCCCTCCTTTTGCTCCCACCGGATACTGCTGGAGGATGAGATGCGGCCAGTGAGACAGCAGCAGAGAAGACTGACACCGAACCTGGAGGCTGTGGTTCGGGCAGAGATCGTGAAGCTGATGGACGCAGGGATCATCTACGCCATTTCCGACAGCGAGTGTGTCAGTCCCACCCAGGTGGTACCCAAAAAGGGTGGGATGATAGTGGTGCCCAACGAGAAGAATGAGCTCATCCCGAAGCGCACGGTGACTGGGTACCGTGTCTGCATTGATTATCGGCGTCTCAACGACGC